CTCTGACACACGTGAGGTCACCATGAGTTGGAATCAACTCCATAGCAACTGTTTTTTTTTTTTCTTAAATGTTCAATTTACAGTACCAGCTGCTGTGTGGCATAGAAAGAGGTATAATATGCTCTTCCCTGGTTATCAGTCTACATGGTTCACTCCCACTTCATTCAATCAGTACCTAGATGTCACCTCATCAGAGAGGCTGCTCCTACTAATTATCAAATGCATCACCCTACCCCTCATTATCCGTATCATTACTGCTTTTCATGGCACTTATCACTCCTGACGTAGTCCAGGTCTGTATGTCTGTCTATTTATCTATATGTCTGTCTCCCCCAGTTAAATGAAAGCTCCATTCGAGCAGGGACTTTTTTTCACTACCACATCCCCGGCCTCAAGAGCCATATCTGGCACATTGTAGCCACTCTACAAATTTTGCTAAGTGAATGAACCTCTAAATTCTTGCCCCTGAAAAATGTGTAATTAAATTGAGGGAGGTAATGTTTGTACTTGGCACAAATTATTCTGATTTTTTTGGCAGACGCCACAGATTCCTGACCAAAGGTCATAATTAGCTGTGAGCTGGGTTGGAATTTTTTCCACAGCAATTCCTGTTGATGTCATTATTGAATTTTCTTCACATTGGTATTGCACCTGGTCCACAAGATTGCATGCCTTTCTATTAAAACCCAGAAATCCATATGAGGCCCTGCTGTTCGGCTTTTCTTCACTACCATAAAGGCACCACTTTGTCAGTTAGAAATCTCCTGGGGAGTGTGTGTTGTTTCTATTAGTTCTAACGCGAGCCACGTTTGGACTTGAGGAAAACAAACATGTTTGTGTGTAGCTCTCTTCAGGGCTGACACACTCTGTCTCACACACACGCATACACATATACCTTTTCTCTTAGTGTTCTCACAGAAAGATGCTGAAAAACAAAGACAAGTTCAGTGTTTTACATCTTCAAAATATTTTATGGTGTTAAAAATAAAATCTTGTATTAATTCAAAAGAACATCACAATATTTGATTGCTCTATTATTTAATAAACAATTTTCAAATTGGGGCAATGTTCTCCTCCTGCAAAAGGAAACCACTTCCAGAGAATGGAAATTTCACAGAGACTTACATAATTTTTCCTCAGTGAACACAAGTTTCCATGGTGATGAAGTGTTTAAGTAGTTACCGAGTTAACATTAGAAAGTTACTCCTGAAATTTGACTATTTACCGATATGTAGTTATGAGACCTCTTGAAATTAAAATTAAGGAAGCTCACAGTCTTTTTCATTAAATCATGATGTAATGGGTTTGTTATTGACTGTTCTCTTTGAGCAGGGAAAAAAAACAAATTTAACCATGTGTCTTAGTGATCTAGTGCTGCTACAACAGAAATACCACAAGTGAATGGCTTTAACAAACAGAAATTTATTCTCTCACAGTCTAGTAGGTTAGAAGTTCGAATTCAGGGTGCCAGCTCCAGGAGAAGGCTTTCTCTCTCTGTCAGCTCTGGAGGAAGGTCCTTGTCATCAATCTTCCCCTGGTCTAGGAGCTTCTCAGAGCAGGGACCCTGGGTCCAAAGGACATGCTGTGCTCCTGGCACAGCTTTCTTGGTGGTAGGAGGTCTCCATGTCTCTCTGCTCCCTTCTCTCGTTTATATCTCAAAAGAGATTGACCCAAGATACAACCTAATCCTGTAGATTAACATAACTCATTAACATAACTGCCTCTAATTCCTGCCTCATTAACATCATACAGGTAGGATTTACAATACATAGGAAAATCACCTCAAATCACAAAATGGTGAACAATCACACAATACTGAGAATCATGGCCTAGCCAAGTTGGCACATATTTTTCCGGGATACAATTCAATCCATAACAGCATGCTTCAGAGTTAATTAGTAATCTGGGATGAAAAAAGGCCAGCAAAGCTGCAGGCAAGATCAGTTTTGGGTCAAGTAATTTTAGGCTCATGAGTAAGAAAAAAACTTCTTGAAATCAAAGTAAAATGCCTTTGTTTAACAAAAATTTTTTTTCATGAAGATTTGGTGTAGAATTCATGGATGACTCCGAATCTAGTTTGCCCTTGCTTCCCTCCACTCTTGAATTCTGCTTTGTCTGGAGAATGCTTATAAGAATTGTAAGGAATGACCAAAGTTACTTCAAAAAAATCTCTAGTTAAATGGTTTAAAAAGCATAGGGAGCCCAAATTATATGGACTTAAAGGGAGCCTAAAGAAAGATTTGTCAGAAGGACGTCCAAACAAAAGTGGATAAAAACTAGGACTGATAGTGGAAGACTTCTGGGTCAATGTAATTAGGAACTTTCTCATCTCTTTCTCAGCCTAGAAGAATAGACTCTCCCTGGAGGGGCTAACACCACCACCACCCTCAAAGCACTGAATATCAGGGAGGCGAGTTTCACCTTAGTTGAGCAGTTAAACGAAATGACACCCATCTATAGACAGCAAAGCTCATCAATAAAATCTGGGACCAATGTTGGGGAAGCAGAGGCTGCTACTCTTCTTTCATCTTTTTAACCATATTCAGGGGCTCCTTTGGCATAGCAGAGGTCTATGGAGGGATACCCCCAGCCACCCTTAGACCAATAGTTCAGATTTGGCTCAGTGGATTTAATGTGGTGGTTAAGAGCATGAACTCTGGAGTCAGCAGACCTGAATCCTGATTCTGCAACTTAAGCAAGATAGTTAACCTCTTTAAATCTCAGTTTCCCCCCAGCCAACAGGGAAAATAATTGTACCTACCACATAGGGGGACTATAAAATGATACACATAAAGCAGTTAGCAGACTACCTTGCATTTAGTAATTTAGTAAATGTTCAACAAACGATAGCCATTATTATTATTTTCAGTGCCTAACGGTGTATAGCTCATATAGCCCAATATATATTTGTTGAATGAATCAGTAAAAATTCTGTCTCACATACACGAGGGAAGAAATAAGAGAAGAAATTCAAATTAGTCAGTGAAGCATGTTGATCTAAGATGAATAGAGGTTGGATAGCAAAACTATTGACTGAAAATGGTTTTTACAGGATTATGGTTGAATATCCTTTATCTGTGTTATCTGTCTTCATTTGGGCCTTAGCTTCCAGAGCACCACTTAGAAAGGCCAGCTCCTTGGTCATGGCCCCATCTGGTTCATTTTGTGTGGTGTGCAGTTGACAGCTCCCATGCTGTTTGTGTGGTTGCCTAGTAAAGCAATGTCATTTAAGAAA